TACGAAATTTTCTTTTATATTTTAAATAGAGATTACTCATTTGACGCGTACATAACCCTCGTTTTCCTTATCGAACGATGAAACCTTATCAATTTATTACAAGTTACTACGAAAAGAAAAACCATGATTTGAGTGCTCATCATATATTTCGGAAAAAGCTATTATATTATGCTTTAACAAAATTTGTAACCTTTTTTTATTGTAAATGTCAAAGAAACTAATATGACCTAAAAATAACGAGTTAAAAAAGAATCGATTTAGTAAATTCCTTAAAACCATGTAAAATAAAATAAAATAAAAAAACGAGGAACGACTTTGTATTTATAATAATAATAAAAGTTTAAGATTTTGAACTGGATATTGAAATTCAAGCTGTGCCTTATATTTAATAAACGAACTTTAATGTAAATACGTTCTATATGTACATTAAAATATTTAATATAATTTAGACGTAATAAAATTCAATATTTACAATGATTAAATTAATTCTTTAAATAATTCAAATAAGTAAAAAGAAATCAAAAACAACACTCAAGCTTTTGAATACTGATTTTGGTGGCGATACTTGATGGGTTATATAATCATGATAGATTAAAAAAACAAAATTTTCTAACTAGTAGACGTTTAGCATTCACTTTAATTCACTGTCGTTTATGATGTAGCAGATTACGTGAATAAGCTACTACAGTAACGACGGGTAGTTTTATATAACTTCAATTTTGTTTACTAATTTAAAATATTATCGTTATTATATGTTTTATAATTTATTCAACATTCAACTAAATTTCAGAAACAAATATTAATCCTTTAGAAAAGAAAAAAGAAAGAAATTCATAAATGAAAGTAAAAGGATTAAACAACTATATGAACTTAGATAAATCAACCTGCAACATACAAATAAGTGCTAATACTCGTGCAATTTACCAAACCAAAACCAAAGTTTTAATAGGATAAAAAAAGAAAGGTTCGAAACCAATATTGTTTTCATCGATCAAGTTAAGTACCCAACGTATATCCGACAATGTTCTTCGATTGATCAAAGTCAAAGAACAATAAATTTTTCAGGTTACCATTATTTCAACTTCACATATTCAACTACAACTTTTTTCCCCAACTACAATATCGATTCCTACAACGGTAAAATAATAAAATTTTATTCTTTCAGAGAACGATGATGACAAATGTTAAATTTGAGGTCTTTTAGTTGCAAGATTTCTTAAATAAACTAATAATTGTTTCTTATGTATAACACCAACATAATCTCCACCATTTACAACACAAACATATCTTAACCCTAATTTTTTAAATAATTCAAGTACAACTTCTAATGAAGCATTTTTTGATACAGTTAACGGTGCCTACAAAAATAATAATACAAAAAAATAATTCAATAATATTATAAAAAATAAAATAAAAAAAATAAAAAATGAAAATTAATATTTTAATGACATTACCTGATCTGTGTAAGCTGTAAAATCTGTAATTATACGACCTTGACCATTTGGTATTGGTACTTCATGTTCATCTTTTCTGAACTGACACTCTGTTGAATCTGATAATTCCTCTACATGTTTTAATGCATGTTCAAGTTCATTTGCTGCGACATAACCAACTAGTGTTGCACCATCGACTATTGGGAGACCAGCGTCTGCATGTCCTGTGAGGGCTATAAATAAAAACAAGAGATTAGTGATAAACTAATGATAATATATATAATATATATATCTATATAAATGTTATTTACATAATTTTTTTAATTTAATCTTTAAATCACTAATAGTATTTCGATCATTAATATCAATAACTTCGGTATCATTTTGAGAAAGATCTAAAGTAGTTGCTGTGG